TAGCATAGTTTGTATAAAGAGTATCAGGAAAGAGGCCATCTTGTCTTCCACACTGTAGCGCTGTAGAAAACTAAAGGTGTGTTCCAAAAATATGCATAAACCGATGGATAATGGAACTTCCAGATAGCTCACCGGCTGGAGAGTACAAGTCCATGCTTAGTCAGCCAACTGCAGCTTTGTAGTCCGTGGCAGGAACAGTGCAAATCACTGCCTGTCCCTGTGCATCAAACCTCCGATTACACTGTATGCTGACATGCTTTACAGAGACAGCCAGCACCGGCCCCTGCTGTGGGGACGTGCCAGTAATAAGCCAGTCACCAGTCTGGTATCAGGCGAGGCAGGGTGGCAGGTTCAACCATTTGTAGAATTCATTAGACGCGATAGTTGTGAGAGCTCGGAATAGCTTCCCTTAGTTTGAGTAGAGTTTAGGCTGAAGAAGGCGATGGTTGTAGGGGTTTAGTATTGATGTGCTAAGAGTGTTTCATGGAAAGAAAACTGCAAAAAGTGAAGAGAATTGAGAAAAGGGAACAAATTGGAATCATCTCTCTTTCTTTAACGTTACTTGTTTGTTTTTGCTTTTTTTCTTAATATTTTTCCGAATTCTCCTTTTTTTCTTCTAGAAAAATATAAATTCATATGAAGGGTCATTAAATAATGTGTATTCACATATGTGTGGCAATGAAGAGGTCAATGACCAGCACCAACAAAAGGTTTAAAGTTCTCTCAAAGAATCCTGAGACCCCACACACTGGTTAAAGAGATCCTATAGTGCCAGGAAAACAAAGCCTTTTTCCTAGCAGTATAGGTCTCTACAGTCCCCTCCTCCCGCGGGGCTGAAGAGGTTAAAACCCCTTCAGCTCTTACCTGAATCCAGCGCCGATGTCCCTCGGTGCTGGGTCAGGCACCGCCCACGCTCCTCCTTCACCAACGTCAGCGAGGGAGACCTAATGCTCAGACGGGGCAATGGTTGCGAGCACATTAGACCTCCACCTAGGTAAGCATTATTCAATGCTTTCCTATGGGGAAAATCTGACGCTGGAGGTCTGTGAGGACGTCCAGCGTCAGATAACGGACCAAAAGTCTGTTTGAATTCTGGAAGCTCCCCGAGTGGCTGTCTGTTAGACAGCCATAGATGGGCAGACTTAGAGCTGCATTGTAAACATTGCAGTTTTATGAAACTGCAATATTTTACATTGCAGCACTAAGTGCAAAATAGTCACAGCACCCAGACTACTTCAGAGATCTGAAGTAGTCTGGGTGCCTACAGTGTCCCTTTAAGGAAGTTATTCTAGGCATGTCAGGGAGCCTCAGGGCCCTGTATCAGTAAATCTGGATACAGCAGGTGGCCTCCTCTAGAGGAATCCTTTTGGGGTGTAAGATGATTAAACCAGTAGAGGTCTGATGATATTCTGGCATACCGGGTCGGGGATAGATGGATAAGTTGACCAGGAGTCCACTAGCCCGTGTTATATAGCTTGCACTGTGTCAGGGGTAGTTGGATAATGTTGACGAGTAGTCCCCGCCCCATGTTCTATAGCTTGCACTCTCTTGGGGATAGTTGGATAATGTTGACCAGGAGTCCCCTACCCCGTGTTATATAGCTTCATTGCACTGAGGCGGGGATAGATGGATGGTGTTGACCAGGAGTCCCCGCCCCGTGTTATATAGCTTGCACCGTGTCAGGGATAGATGGATGGTGTTGACCAGGAGTCCCCGCCCCGTGTTATATAGCTTGCACCGTGTCAGGGATAGATGGATGGTGTTGACCAGGAGTCCCCGCCCCGTGTTATATAGCTTGCACCGTGTCAGGGATAGATGGATGGTGTTGACCAGGAGTCCCCGCCCCGTGTTATATAGCTTGCACCGTGTCAGGGATAGATGGATGGTGTTGACCAGGAGTCCCCGCCCCGTGTTATATAGCTTGCACCGTGTCAGGGATAGATGGATGGTGTTGACCAGGAGTCCCCGCCCCGTGTTATATAGCTTGCACCGTGTCAGGGATAGATGGATGGTGTTGACCAGGAGTCCCCGCCCCGTGTTATATAGCTTGCACCGTGTCAGGGATAGATGGATGGATGGATGATGTTGACCAGGAGTCCCCGTCCCGTGTTATATAGCTTGCACAGTGTCAGGGATAGATGGATGGATGATGTTGACCAGAAGTCCCCGTCCTGTGTAATATAGCTTGCACTGTGTCTGGGATAGATGGATGGTGTTGACCAGGAGTCCCCTACCCTATGTTCTAGAGCTTGCACTGTGTCGGGGACAATAAAAGGGGCTTCATTTACTAAACTGCAACTCTACAGATTAATATAATGACATTCCCAAAAATAAAGAATAAAAACCACCAATATAGATATATCCAACAACAATTATTAAAATTAATAGCGGGTATTTCAATGGCTCATATTAAATCATCTCCAGATATGACATCCAGTCATGTACAGGCAGTTAGTGACTAGTTGCATGGTGAATGTTCTATTTACTAAGCTATCACACAGCTGGGGGTCTGTGACATGTCCTGGAATAAAAGCCTCGCAATGAGTTTGCACTGGTCAGTGACCAAACTTTAAATGAATCACTGAATCCGCAGGACAGACGTGGAAACTAGACAAATGCTAGACCCACCTCTCCTGGTAAAATGCTTTGAAATTACTATTATTATAAGCCCAGAAATACTAGGTTTTATTGACTAAACAGAGAATTGTGAAAAAATAGCCAAAATGGGCATTATTAAGGCCTCAATTCAATAATTTTATACAAGAAAAACATTTCAAATGATTTATCTACCAAAGTCACCATCAAAGTCTGTGGCAAGTTTTGTAGATAAATAATATGGATCGTTTTTCTAGCAGATTTCGATCATTTGGAAAGATCATTAAATCGAGGCCAGTGTTAGAAATGTTTAAAATTTTTCCCTTAGTGAATAAAACAGTCTTTCGGCAGTTCTGTTAATCTTTTTCTATTTCCTATAAAACACTCTTCCCATTCCCTGGTACATCGTATAATGTACGGATTGATATTTTTTTTCTGCAACAGGTTTGTTAGAGAAGAGTTAATGCAATCTGCATGCCATTAATGTAATGCCCTCTTAGGTAGGCACTGCCACTTAATTGTAAAATATATCTTTCAAAACACAAATTGCAAACTGTGTTTATACCCAGTTGGTTGGCACTGGCTTGTTTTTTTTGTGACAAGGTAACTTTAAATCTCCCAGAGCTCTCATCTCATGTAAATCTAACCATTCAATCTATCTAAAGGTAAGAGGACATCTGTTACATAATGCACTGTGTGCTCTCTGATCTGTTACTACCTGTTCCCAATGCGACATGTCAGACACATCCATAACATGCGATTAGCTCTGCGTGCGTTGCCAGATTTAATCATATTCTCCTGTCAGGGTCGCAGCCGCCAAGCCAGGAAAGCGTGACATTAGAATTTCCTTGTACAACAAACAAGACAGTTCAGTGATTTTACACTGCGCGGGATTTCTGTAGCGGGGGATCTTGGACAGCGGCGCTCGAGATGTGCAGACATGCTGCTATTTAGGACAGTTTAAACGACGCTGCTCAGTGACAAACAAGCTACAGTCAGCACAAGATGGATTCCCTGCTCGGTATAACATTCACAGCCACGGAGACACTGTCAGGACTAGTCCGTAAACGCTACAACTCTAGGCCAAAATAGCTGGAAAGAAAGCCAAGTGAGAGAGTTTTTCCATTCTGGCTGTTTTTCCCTAAAATTCGAAATTCCTGATATAATGAATAATGTTGCTTAAAGCATATTGCTCTGCACTGTCCATAAGATGGTGCAGCAGTCTGTTGCAGTGAGGCACTTACAGAGCTAAAACCTTTAGTCTATACCCATAACAAACTGCATTCTTGGACCGTTCAGAGTCCCAAAACTCCTTGGGATGACTCCATGTTACAGCGTGCACAGCCGCTATGAGACCCAAATTTGTACCTGAAGAGGTTTTCAAATATATAAACATATAAACAGAAATTCCATGGAAAAGCTAGCTGAAAAAGTCATTTGCTAAATTTACTGGGACGTTATAGGTTTTCAGGGGTGGGACACCAGAAAAAAAACCACAGGAAGGCCCATAATCAAGACTGCCCTGCTGGATCTGGGACAGCTGGCGACTATGACTGCATATAGTGATTTGATGTAAATTAGAGCAATCTGCATCTCGGTCTGTTTGATGCCCTCTTCTAGAGTCAGAGTAAAGACAGCGCAGCTGGTTAGAAGTTACACGCGCAATATGTGTGTTGGCTAGTAGAGAATATAGTTACTCTGTATATCACCGTTATGCAGCTGGTTAGAAGTTACACGCGCAATACGTGTGTTGGCTAGCAGTGAATATAGTTACTCTGTATATCACCGTTATGCAGCTGGTTAGAAGTTACACGCACAATACGTGTGTTGGCTAGCAGTGAATATAGTTACTCTGTATATCACCGTTATGCAGCTGGTTAGAAGTTACACGCGCAATACGTGTGTTGGCTAGCAGTGAATATAGTTACTCTGTATATCACCGTTATGCAGCTGGTTAGAAGTTACACGCTCAATACGTGTGTTGGCTAGCAGTGAATATAGTTACTCTGTATATCACCGTTATACAGCTGGTTAGAAGTTACACGCACAATACGTGTGTTGGCTAGCAGTGAATATATTTACTCTGTATATCACCGTTATGCAGCTGGTTAGACGTTACACGCACAATACGTGTGTTGGCTAGCAGTGAATATAGTTACTCTGTATATCACAGTTATGCAGCTGGTTAGAAGTTACACGCTCAATACGTGTGTTGGCTAGCAGTGAATATAGTTACTCTGTATATCACCGTTATGCTGTATATCACCGTTATGCAGCTGGTTAGTTACACGCACAATTTGGCTAGCGCGTATATCACCGTTATGCATACGTACACGCGCGTGTGTTGGCTAGCAGTGAATATAGTTACTCTGTATATCACCGTTATGCAGCTGGTTAGAGTTACACGCAATACGTGTGTTGGCTAGCAGTGAATATAGTTACTCTGTATATCACCGTTATGCAGCTGGTTAGAAGTTACACGCACAATACGTGTGTTGGCTAGCAGTGAATATAGTTACTCTGTATATCACAGTTATGCAGCTGGTTAGAAGTTACACGCTCAATACGTGTGTTGGCTAGCAGTGAATATAGTTACTCTGTATATCACCGTTATGCAGCTGGTTAGAAGTTACACGCACAATACGTGTGTTGGCTAGCAGTGAATATATTTACTCTGTATATCACCGTTATGCAGCTGGTTAGACGTTACACGCACAATACGTGTGTTGGCTAGCAGTGAATATATTTACTCTGTATATCACCGTTATGCAGCTGGTTAGACGTTACACGCACAATACGTGTGTTGGCTAGCAGTGAATATAGTTACTCTGTATATCACAGTTATGCAGCTGGTTAGAAGTTACACGCTCAATACGTGTGTTGGCTAGCAGTGAATATAGTTACTCTGTATATCACCGTTATGCAGCTGGTTAGAAGTTACACGCACAATACGTGTGTTGGCTAGCAGTGAATATATTTACTCTGTATATCACCGTTATGCAGCTGGTTAGACGTTACACGCACAATACGTGTGTTGGCTAGCAGTGAATATAGTTACTCTGTATATCACCGTTATGCAGCTGGTTAGAAGTTACACGCTCAATACATGTGTTGGCTAGTAGAGAATATAGTTACTCTGTATATCACCGTTATGCAGCGGCTGAGAGTGTAACGGTGTGTACTGATACAGCTGCCAGGATATTGGATGCTACGTTAAATTCTGCCCCTGTGCTTTATATCAAAAGCTGTCTGGATGGTTTTCTTATATTAGAAAAAAAGGACGTGACGATAAACACGCAAACTGCTAGTGACTGTTTTTCCACAGGACAGCATCACATGTCAAGTCCTATAATATGATCCAAATAAAGTCACTACATTTGAGAATTATTTAAAAAAAAATTTAAATACATTTTCTCCAACAATTTCCCTAAAAACAATCTCAGTGATTTTATTTATTTCTTGCAGATCGCACACTTGGTTGGTTTACTAATTATTTAGACATGCATATGATGCAGATTTCTGAACATTCTCCTGCAAATTTTCCACTAAAAGCAGAGAAATAAATCTACAAAAAAATCTAAACCTGTGCATCCCTAGTTATACATAACAGAAGTGAATGTGCACTGGTGTTTATTTCACCATTTTGGTGTGCGATTCACAATTTCCTTGCCAGTTCTTCACAATTCCCGCTTTATATTTTCAGACAGGTTTAATTTTTAGATATTTTACAATCTGTCAGTTTTATTGCTCAGACTAACTGCCACACAATAAACTTAGTTTGGCAACCAAAAAGTTCATTATTACCTGCAGTGAACCCCAGCAATATCTGTCTGTGAGTGTTGGGAGTGGTATCTGACTCAGAGGTTAGACAGCGCTAGTTATAAAGGGGTGAAAGAGATGCGTGCCTCGTTGCAGTAACAAAATGATTGGTTGTCACAGCACATTCCTGCAAGAGACATAGAATACAAATCACTCTCAGACTTTGACAGATTCCCTTTACGTTCTAAATCGAGAAAAATGTCAGAAGCAGAATTCAATTTTCAAGGCGCGTCGCAACACTCACTTTGAATATTTACATGTTCATTTGATCCGAGCATCTCCGGGTGGCAGAAAGTTAGCCGCCATTTCCACATAACCAAGCATTAATTCTGCAGCGCGCACGCAGGCCGTAAGCTCTGAGCTGGAGGGATAATTATATTTGTACAAAATACAAAACAGAGGATTTGCGGTTTTACTTTCTCTATTTTGCAGTTTTTCAAAGGATTGACTGCTTGTCAGACGCTGCTAGATGAGGGTTTGATGTCAGAATAACCTTCAAGTAATGTCATAAGAACAGAAACAAATTTTCCCTAAATACTGTTAACTGTATTTCACATGCATTTCATATGATTTATTAAACCAACAGAACAAGCATTGGCTCAATCCCATAATAATAATAATGTGATAAATGTTTGAATTTTATGCATTTACTGTTGCCTAAATTACAATCGGTGCTATTTCATTGAATATCATTTCCCATGAAAACGGTAGACTGCAGATTTCTAAACCATCTAAACCACTACCCACCCCTCACGCCTTAAGTTAAATGATCGGAAATAAAGCTGAACCATTGGTGTAGGTTTAATAGTGTTGTAGAGTAAGAAAGTTCCTGAGAATTATAAGATTTAGTACATTGCAGATCCATTCACATTGTCCATTGAGCAACTAAGTGTCTGTATCAGGATCCAAACATCTAAATTAAACATCTCGATTTGTCACTGCTAGAGAATGAATGAGACAGGTATTAAAGCTGAAACTGCGTCATAAGTAAGATTTACTCCTAAAACAGGAACTGACGAGAACGGACCAGGAGTTTGCAAATATTAGACCACAGTAGCCAAGCTGGAAAATTATACAAGACATAAAACGTTTGTTAATCCTTCACATTCTCCGATTTAGAGACCAACATGCACATGTACGGAATGATTGCAGAGGCACCAAAACAAAGCGCAGCGATTCATACGTTAGGTGTCACAGACAACAAATGGGAAATGTTGCCCCATCTGCGTCACCTCATTAATAAAAACGTATTCCGACATATCTAGTTACAGCGCACAGCCAATTCCAACACCAAAATAAGGATTGCTAGAACAAGTTAACTTTGCTTTTCAAAAAAAAAAAAACACATTTTAAGATCTTTTGATATCAGACAACGTAACAGTTTTATTATGTTTGATCCTGACTGTTCCACAGACCATTAACACTTTGTTGCCATTTCCTAGACTGTCACAGTCATTGCCTTTTCGTGCCGCTCCATGTGTTTTTCATATCGCAGCATTTTCGACAGGAAATCATGGCGGATTAGCAAAATGCCTTATAATGCAGCCCACATCACTGCAGCTTATTACCTCATATCCATGAAATCCCTCATAAGCCAGACTGTAGTGAATATGTGGACTGCTTCCTTGGAAGCAATTAAGGTTCTAGAGGCAAAGTGTGAGAACCCTGCTGATTTACTGTACGCATAGTGCCATACTCACTACCAACACAGAGAACCCATGGCCCAGGGCATTGTAACAGTGCATTATAAACGAGCAGGTCCCAAACATGGAAATATTCTCTGAACTGTCATTGTATATAAAAATCAGACTCTAAATGTAGACTGTAAGCTCTTTAGAGCAGGACAGAATTACCGTTGGCTGCACAGATAGCACTGGGTTCAGCCACATTATTGGGGTCCATAGAAGTATTGAATGTTGGGCCCATTATATGGTAATAATGATGCATCCTATCAGCGCTGAGCATTGGACGTTAAATAAGAAATGTGTTTCTGCTCTGATGGTATGAGGTCCATTGCTTCCCCCTCCATTATGCAAAGCTTGCTGGTAGTTAGCGGGCTCCGTGCTGAAGGCTCTGTACCTTCCTATGCAATTGAACCTGCCATGGTACTAGAATAATGTGACCGATTGTAATCACTGCCTTTAGACACTGTGAATTTTCTTTCCCCCTTTTTTTGGTACTCTGTATTTTTTATATATTGTACAATATGAAACAAAAGACTTCGGAAGTAAAAATAAAAAAACTGAATTAAAAAAAAAAAAGTTACAACTCGTTGCTTTTTATTTAGTTGCGATGCAGTAAAATGAAATCCATGCAGTATTACCTCCTCCACGCAGACAAATAAACCACAAATCGACAGGCGCACATTTATTGAGACCCCAGACACGGAGTTTATGGGCCGCCATCAATGAGGTTTTATGTCAACACTCCAGGCACTCTAAGTACCATAACCAATTCAGTGATTTGACGTACACGCGATGCCTGGGATCTGTACATGCACATACTGCTGTACGAGTAACCCCACCTCTGGCAGCATCACTGGGGTGTCATCAGCCAGCGACCAGCGGACCACTCTGGCTGATCTCAATTCTGTGCTTATTCCTACGCTCACAATTGCAATGCTTGGCTGAGAGAGGTCAGCCAATGCAGTCTGTCTTGACTTTGCACTGCAGCAAACGCGAGAGATTTCTATTTTGCATGTTTTATTTTAATGCATTAACTATATACAGATTTATAAAAATTTTAAAAAGGGGTAAATAGAAGTGAATCAGGAGGACTTGATGAGTCATCATGAGATAATACGATAAATGTCACCTGTGCTCTGCCTGTCTCAATTCTTTCAATGTGCTGACAGGTTTTTGCAACGAATCACCGGATCCAAAACATGGCTGCCCTCTGTGTAGCGAGACCCTACCCATCACATATCCATTATTATACCAAGAGTCATCTACAGCAAACTCTGGCAGTGAATTAGGGATGAGGCACATATGACCATTCTGAATAATCCCTTTATATGCTAAGTAATCGTTATCATAGCATAAAACAATCGGTGCAGCTCACAAACAGAACAGGGTGCATATAAAACAAGTGACTAAGACACATAACATACCTATTCTCTCGATCCTTCTGGTACATAAAAATTCATAAAATTAACCTTAAAGCAGAGTCCGTAACATAATACTGTAGACGTGTATATGTGCAGAAATGGGCATCAATTAGCAGCTCACAATATTCTGATCCATACATAGCAGGCTCTGACTACATAGGCGTGTAGTTATCCCTCTGTAGGTTCCTATTCCACTCTTTCAATACATAGGATAAAGCAGGAATCCGGATATGGAGGTAAGTGCTATAGTTTAATAAAATACCAAAGTGTAAATAACTAAAAACAAGCTGTGTAAATTTACAACAGATAAGGACACAAATAAATAGAATTAAAGGCCACCCACATAAAGCACAACACATTTCAACCTGCCTGGTCTTCATCAAGGTCCATCCGGCATGCTGATTTTATTATGTCCAACAGGAAATTAGAGTTGGGGCCACACTCTGTTTGTCATAGCATAGATGGGAAAAGAGCTATAAGTTTTGTTTTGTGGTTTTTGATTTTTTTTTTTAAGTTTGCCTATTTTGTCTACAAAATTGTAATTCACGTGTCATTTCACAACAAATATCAATGTAGTGAATAAATCCCACTTATTGCATTTATTCAACACTCTCGGCTGGTTTAAAAGCTAATTAAGTATAATTAAACCTCCCAATAAAGGAATTCCTGAGGACGCCTCTCAGATTAGACATTTATCTCTATTCAGATAATTAGAGAGCGGTCGATCCTACTCTCCTGGGTAGGCTGCACAACCTTCTCCCGACATGTCCTTCCCTCCCAGAACCCGCGAATGCTAGCTTGGCTAGCCAGAACAAAAAAAGGACGGGTTAGAACAAATCACTTTACTGTTTTTAACACCCACAGACAAATGGCGGTCAGCCCACACGTTCCCAGTGAACATGATTAAGACTTGGAAAAGGATTAGTTATTAATTAAAAGGCAGATTAGGAAGTGGGGGGTGATACAATATCTCACTATTCAGCATGCATTTATACAAAAGAAGCCAAGTGATACTCAAAACAGGAAATTTTCTTTACAGAAATCAATTTAAAACCATATTCCCAACAGATCAATGTTATTTACCCAATCTAGCTACACTGTAATTAATCGAGCTGGAGGTATCTTGGCAGCCATCTTGGAAGTAAATCAAAATATTAAAACTCTCAAAATACATTTACTAGAGAGAGAGAGGGGAAAAAAAAACACAACACAGTGTGATTGATGCTGGGAGCCAATAAGGATCTAGGAGAATCTAGCAGGAGGGAGAAAATGTGGTTTTTTTTTTTATGAAGCATAATAAAAAATAAAAATCACACAGTCACACGATTATTAAAACACTTCGACCTTATGAATGCTAAAATCTCACCTGTCACCGCTATTTATACCATCTAACCAAGCTACGGAAAACGTTCAGAGTGTCTCCGAGGAGGGTTTTTTTTTGTTTTGTTTTTTTCAGACATATGACAGTTATTTACATACAAAATAATAGGTGGAGCTATAAATTCTTGAGTAGTCTGTAAAACACAAATACAGTACAAAATAGCGTAATATGTCTGTAACTGACAATAAAACAAGGATAAGAAGTAGTAGAACTCACAAGGCCGTCATATGACTCTGGAGGTATACGTCTCTGGACCAATGGGGGTTGTCCAGACCCTTCTGTTGTCAGCTTCTTGGTCTTCCCCCTTTTATGTTCCTTAATTGGTCCCCAAGAAATACTTGGTAAACAGGTAGTTCTTCAATAATAGTATATATTTATTAAAAAATAGTAAATGTAAAAATGATAAAATATCCATATATCAGATAATACTGAGTATAGGAATATAACACAATGCATATATAAATGCAAAATGGAAAGTGTCCAATGAATGTTCAAAATGTCCAAAACGCGTTTCACCTGTTTAACAGGCTTCCTCAGATGGCTGTAATCTTCTTTTCCTCCTTCTTGTCCTTTTTGTAAACTTGGTTTGCCGTTTTTTTCGCCTCCTTCCATCACTTCCGGGTTTTTCGCGTCTGGAACGCAACGTGCGTTCCACCCCGGCAACTACTTCTGGGTTACCTAGAGAAGGGACGCACGTGCGTTCCAGCCGCTATTCGAACTTCTAGTTAACATCTAAATGGAACGCACGTGCGTTCCACCTACCCCTTTTGTTTCCTTCCTCATCCGCGATCATTTTACTAAACCAGGATAGTGCTCTATTGGAACGCACATGCGTTCCACTAATACATTCTGTGAAAGAGGGTATAAATATAGGTATATAATGTTAGACAACATACAAATAAAAATATGAGAACTGTAATTGATCACATATGATTACAATTTGGGTAATATATATACCAAATTTAAAATTGCAGTTCATGCAATAACCATGCATTAATACATAAAGTGCAAAATAATTGTGCAATATAGTATAGTGCCAAAAAGATAAAAATTGTTATGAACTTTTTCTTATAAAACGGTGCAAAGTGCAAGAAAGTGAAACCTCTATACATATCTATGGGGTGTATCTAATATTAAATGGACGTTGTTTTTACCTTTAATTTTAAGACCTCTTAATGTCTTTAAGGGATGCTAAAAATTTAAAAGCTAATAAAATTATTTTAAATAAAGTAGTGAACAATGGATAAAAAGGGGGTGGTGTTATGCTAAAAATACATATGGAATATAAAAAAAATAAATTTTGAAATATTTTGATGAGAACTAATTCATAAAATGACATAGTTCAAAATCATTGTTAAGTCCATGTGGTATCATAGTGTTAAAATTAAATATACATCGCATTTCTTCTTTCCCTATTTTATTTGCATAATCCCCTCCTCTCCAATCTTTTTTTACTAATTTTATTGCACAAAAGAACATTCCTTCTGGATTTTGTTGGTGCATCATTTTAAAGTGGTTGGAGACACTGTGTGTTTGTACCCCATTTTTTTATATTTCTTATATGCTCCGCTATTCTAGTGTTTAAATTACGGATTGTGCGTCCTACATATAAGGGATTGCATGGGCATTTCAAGACATAAATAACTCCTTTCGAATGGCAAGTTAGATGGTCTTTTATGACAAATTTTTTTATCTATATGCGGCTCTAGATCTATTAAATGCCTTTTTTTACTTTTAGTATTTCTGCATGCCAGACACTGTCCACATCCATAGAAACCCTTGCTCATTGAAAAGAAGTTTTTTTTCAATTATTCTTTCCTTGTTGCTACTTTGAACTAGAGAGTTTTTTAAGTTTTTTGCTCCTCTAAAAATAATTTTCGGTTTCTCTGGTAGCAAATTTTTTAGTATTGGGTCATCTTTATAACAGTTATTGGTTGTAAATTAGCAGCTGGCAGGTCTACATTTTACATTGTTTCTTGACTTTAAAAGGGACACTATAGTCACCTGAACATCTTTAGCTTAATGAAGCCGTTTTGGTGTATAGAACATGCCCCTGCAGCCTCACTGCTCAATCCTCTGCCATTTAGGAGTTAAATCCCTTTGTTTATGAACCCTAGTCACACCTCCCTGCATGTGACTTGCACAGCCTTCCATAAACACTTCCTGTAAACAGAGCCCTATTTAGGCTTTCTTTATTGCAAGTTCTGTTTAATTAAGATTTTCTTATCCCCTGCTATGTTAATAGCTTGCTAGACCCTGCAAGAGCCTCCTGTATGTGATTAAAGTTCAATTTAGAGATTGAGATACAATTATTTAAGGTAAATTACATCTGTTTGAAAGTGAAACCAGTTTTTTTTTTTCATGCAGGCTCTGTCAATCATAGCCAGGGGAGGTGTGGCTACGGCTGCATAAACAGAAACAAAGTGATTTAACTCCTAAATGACAGTGAATTGAGCAGTGAAATTGCAGGGGAATGATCTATACACTAAAACTGCTTTATTTAGCTAAAGTAATTTAGGTGACTATAGTGTTCCTTTAAATTGTCATTTTATTTTTTCTGTCTTCCATAATTTCCATCACTAAATACAGAGTATAAAGTGAAAGGTGTGAGGCTGTTTCAGGATGTATTGCTCAGAGAGCTTCCAGGCAGACAGGGCTGTGTATAGTCTAGTAGCCGACATATTCCCCATCATTGCAATATGTTGGGTTTAGCTTAATCAGGAGGTTCAGCTGAAGATACTATAGGAATTGAACGGACACATAATGGTACAATGTTTCACCTAAACAGAATGATACAAATATTGTAATTCTTGTCTTTTTACCCCAGTTCCCTTAGACGGTAAACTTTTTTTGAGCAGGGTTCTCACCACCTTCTGTTCCTGTATGTCCAGCGGTTTGTTTTATTTATAAAATATTTTACCAGGAAAGATATTGTTAAACCACCGGTCGTAAAAATGAGAAGCATCCAAAATCCAAATTCTCAGGAAGCATCCAGAATTGTGTTGCCATTAAAGCTGGCATGGACCAATACACATCTATGAAGAGTTAGTGGGTCCAGCCAAGCAGGTCCAGAGTGGGTAGCTGTGATTACAGATGGTGGCAACGGATGGGGAACAATTAGAGATGCCCAGCAGATGCACCAAGGGCATATCTTCATTTTCTGACATAACATGTCTAGTCTCTGATCTACAGTAAATAAAAGCCAAGGCAGTCTCTAATTGGTGCTAGCACATCGTTCATTTAAGGGTTACCTCTTGGTAACAGCAGTATGCTAATCTGGAACATGCAAAAATTATTTTCTCTGCAGAACGGCCTCCGTTTTGAATTTTAAATAGCATAACGAATCCTTCTACAAGTTGAAATTAACAGGCTTTCTGCTCGATTACATTTTCTCTGAATAATGGCCCAATACCATTAAGCTCCCATTTCTGGGCTCAATTCAAGTGCAACTTGTGACTGAATAGCTGATCCACATTCATCGTCAAAACCGCTAGAGGAGAGACGCTGAGAACTGCAAGAAATTGTATATTTATTAAGATGTTTGCATAGGCATTCCTTTGTACAGTCTATGCTTAGGACAAAGCAGGGTTATTCAGCAGGCTTTAAATCTGCGTTGGAATGCAAAACAAGGAAAATCCCCAAATTTATTCAAAAAATTGCCGTTCAGGGACAAATTCAACGGATAGGAATTCAAAATGAATTTTAAGCTGCAAACTAAAAAAAAAAAAAATCTCCAAGTCAGCAAAGCTTCAGATTTGGCTATTTTGGTCTAAAATTAGAAATTCACTTTGAAATGCCCACTTGCATGTATATATTAACTTGGGCTATGCCAACCATACTTATTATGCAAGCTAGTTCTAATAACATAGAACCCTGACTGGATGGGAAGTAAGACACAATATTCTGAAACACACACATTTCAGTTTAATATTGGGGTGATGATGGGGTAATATATTTCTGGAGATAACTAGTTGCCTGTGGTTTTTAACGAAAAAGTGTTGAATTTCTTGAACCGCCATGAACTATCCCTTAAAACTAATTTTAGTGAATAATGTCCATATAATAATAAAATGCTGCAACTCATCAACAAGGATCCAAGACTGAAGCTGTAAACATTAGGACAACATCAAAAGGACAGCACTGCACAGACTCACCAAGCGGCCCTCATTACAGGAACCGGCCAGTATGGCCGCACTGCACAAACTCACTGGCCCTCGTTACTGGAAGGTGCCAGTATGGCCGCACTGCACAGACTCACTGGCCCTCGTTACTGGAAGGTGCCAGGATGGCCGCACTGCACAGACTCACAGGCCCTCGTTACTGTAAGGTGCCAGTATGGCCGCACTGCACAAACTCACTGGCCCTTGTTACTGGAAGGTGCCAGTATGGCCGCACTGCACAGACTCACTGGCCCTCGTTACTGGAAGGTGCCAGTATGGCCGCACTGCACAGGCTCACTGGCACTATAGCCCACTCTCAGGATTTAGATCAGGCTCATATTAATAAGACATCTAAATTATACATGCCAAGTCACTGGGATATCTCCCACTCACCAGAAGCAGGGAGTCTCTCCATCCCCCCCACACCAATCCACCCACCCTACCACTACCACTACAAATGTACACATTTACACATGCAGGCTGTAGATAGAACTCTGTATTCTGTAATAACAGACATGCCAGGAAAAGGATGGGTGTGAATCAAACTACCCACACAAGACACCACACAATATGAATTCACATATAGAAATGTACAAAGGACATCAAGTAGACAGACTGGCTGAGGATCACGTGTGCTCGCCTACATTTCCCAGAATTCTCTGCCAGTTACTCTTAAGCAAACAAAATAATCAGACACAAAGTTTATTTTTTAATATTTTATTTCAAGGTAAACTGAAAAAGTTAGTGAAAACAAACAAAAAAAAACAAAACACAACAACTGATAACTCTCCAGTAGTGATCAGGTTAACAGCACCCAAGACATGAGGATATTAATTAATATGAAAACCTCTGTTTGGAAACATTACACAAAACAGACACTGTGGGACAATTATAGTCTCCAAAACAAAAACTCCCAGAAATTTAATGACACACACACACACTTAATAAAAACCAAATATATGTGGACTTAAAGCAGCATTAAGAGCTAGATATTGACCAAAGCACTCAAATCGTCTCCCAAGACTTTGCTTGGCTACTACTAGCTCGCCCCTGTACGTTGCCAACCTGTAGGAGACACACAGGGCTTAGTAATAGATCTAAGCACGATACTCTGTGCCTGGAGACGGAGTTCAGGGAAAATTCCAAAGCTTAATATGACATTACTCCCACAGAATTACTGGTTGCATCCAATAAAAAACACCAAACTCACCATTCTTGCAGTTTCAACAAACAAATCCCACAATTAAAACAAAACAAAAACAAACTCCTCACCCGAACAAAAAGCAGTTTAATATGAATAGGTTTCGATGGTTTTCCTGTATAGATGCTCTCTGCACATCGTTTCAGCACCAAGTGGCCAAATATTTACCTGGGACAATAACACCACAGGACACTTTGAATAGACATATGACCTTTACAAAGACAGAAATGACCCCATAAAACCGGAAGCCAAGAGAGGTCCATGTAATCTCTTGGTTCTGGGGACGCTGCCTTCACCCCGTGTTATGACCCCTCCAGAGCTGGCTTCATCGTGCACACCAATGGCAGACACATCGAAATGGAAAGAGAAACGGTTTCGTTACCAGGTTTATAAAAAAAAAAAAAAAATCAGGACTGCCATTATTGTGTGGCTCAGCCATTAATAGGGACTTTACTTGTTAGAACAAATCAGGGAAATAATGTGCACACCCCCAATCGTGAACACCGCTGTGAATTCTAGATATGGGGACAGTGAAGAAGGCATGGCAATGCAGCCAGTTTATGCTCACACCAGTGACGAGCTCCAGGGACAGGATATTGATAAGCTGTCCACAGATTCTGTTTTAGGAGTGACCCTTCCCTTATGTAATAAAGCCCCATTCCCTCCATGGCACAAAAACAGATTGATACGGGAACAGCAAAATCCAGTGACTGAACTCCAAATCCAAATAAAACGCAGGAGGTACGTGGAAACTTGACATATCAGGAATCGATGGCTGATGGGAGAATAATACTAAAACTGCCATTTCAAACACATAAAAACAATACACAACATTTTAAGAATCAGTTTCTGGTGCTATGGCTACAATAAATTTCAATCTTTGTGTCCACCCACTATGTCATGTGACTAAATTAAATTAATAGGAGATAAAATTAGGCAAAATATACAATTATTAAAAGAATTATTCCTGAGCAGCCACGGGCCCTAACACAGCTCGCCGAGTACATGCCACGGTATGCAGTTTGAGAAGTAGGTGCCACTAAGTACTCCACATTTCCTGCGCAGGAAAGTGTCAGAGCATTCTCCATCAATGTCAAAGATGCGAAAACTAAAAATGATTTCCCTTACATTATGACAAATATTACATTAAAACATCGGCTATTACGGAGATGTGCAAACTAAAAGTGTTTTTTTGACAATATCACAGTTAAAAAGTTCTTATTTCCTCATTTTCGAAATGAAAAGAATATTCCAATAGGCCAAGTCCCAAACGTGGCTGACTAGTGCAGGACCCTTTGCAGGTTACAATAAAGAAAGCCGATGACGATTACATTACTCCCACAGAATATGCAATCACTATATAGTTCTAATATACTCCACATTGGTCATTTTCAGTTTTGTGCGTTCCAATGAACCATGAAGTAAAATCTGTACCAGTTCTTTCTAGAAATCAGTATGGTGGCTGGTCAGACCCTTCCTGGGTATTGTGCAAATCCAGACAATTGTGCAGTGTATCAAGTTCTCAGTCCACAACGTGTCATTACACCGACACAAGCACATCCAGGTAGAGTCTGTCGTAGGATTCCCTGAAGCACAGAATGAGAAGAAGACTAAGCAGGCTGGATCCAGTCAGGCACCAGTTCAACCACGACAAGTCTGGAAACGAAAAAACAAGGCACTCAGATGGTGTATTTTGGATGGGAACATTTGTCATTGGATTCCCTGAAGCAGAGAACACACACAAGTGCGATGGCACAAGATCCTAAGAGGCACCAATTCGCCCAGGATAATGCTGCATAAACATAAAAGGCAATCCATGCAATAATATAACTAAATAATATACAGTGTACCAGTCTAGAACCCAGCATCCAGGCACCCCATGCAATCTACAGATGTGTGAAGCAAAGACAAAACATTCAATCATCTTATTGCTTTGTGCCAAACCGTAGCCTGGGTCTAATCAGCAATAAAAGTGATTCTCTGTAACACACACAGATACCCTTTACAATAAAGTACATTATCTATTTCATGAGCAAATCTTTGTGTTTAAAGATCAATAGCAGAAGCATTCACCTGAAACCTTCCCAGTTAGTGAATGAGTAAAGGCCCCTCATTTGTAACTGCACCCCTGGCTAGGAAAGTGCTGTGAGGGCCAAGGAGAAGCACAGAAATATATGTTACATGTTCTTGTTTAGTGATAGATGTCGAATGATAGTGGAGGTCACTATGCAGTTTTACCCAGAGGACCCACAACAGAGAGCTAAGAAGGAGCCATTACAATCATTGGGCCTCAGCTCAGGTAGTGTAGTGTAGTGTAATCAAGTCGGTACTGTAGCGTAACATTTACTGAAAATTGTTTTTTTTTGCAATTCTCTACAATTCTTTGAATACATGCCTTCGAGAATGCTTTGTCCAACTGTTAAAATTTCTGACTGTTGCTAAGATGCCACCGTCTGCTGGCCTTAGAGACCCAGGATCATAAATACACAGGTCAGAAAAACTGATCACAAAATTAGAAAGATTTTTAAGAAGATGAGCCTTGCACCAAGCCATGGATAAGTGACCAAGCTTGAAAACAGAAATAATTGGCATCTCTCATCTCTTAACAGTGTAACTTCCACTGATCGTTAAACTAAACTGCACCCACTTTACTGTATTAAATCACGTTCAGGTGACCTCATTTATGGCTCCATTAAAGTGAAACGTGTGGAAAGCTGGAATCGTCATTCTGGAAGTTGATGCACATAAGCAGGAAGGTAAATATGACATTACAGCATTTTCCCTATAAAACATCGCTCTCTGCGTGCCAGCTTTGGCTGCTGGGATCAATACACCTAATAAGATTCTTGCCTGAAATTAAAGATAAAATGTCAAAGATTCTAAAATGTCACAGTGCAATTAAGAGCACCGGAGTGTCCGCCATGTCTGCTAATCTATGCCGTGACCTTCCTGCGCGCAGCGCGTGGCCTGGCCTTTTAATATAACAGCAGTGATGATGTGAATGCTGCTGAAACCTGACAGCAATACCCAATGATATTTAACCCCTCACTTAACATCACTGTAGCCCACAAATCAAGGGCAGACATTATAAAATATAATCTAAGAAATACGTTTAGTGAGTGTTTAACCAAAGATTGCTTCTGTCTGGCTGTGAGTCATGAGCATTACTGGATACACATTTTATTTGTGACTGTGGACATGAAGGTAAGAGATTGAAGTGAACTAGTCATTTATAAATCCTGTACATGGAAATCTCTATTTCAACAGGTAAAGATTTGGTTTAAACCAAATATGTAGATTAGAAGGAATTACTAGAAAGTCATTTGGTCCTCACTAGGACTGTAAGTGCTCTGCCCCCCCATTTCCACAAACTTTCCTAGCATGCTGCAGTGTTATACAGATGCAATTTTTAACCATATGCCATTGCCGTGGGGTAAAAGGGTTAACGAAATTGTCCAATGAGATGGAGCCAAGGTCAGAATAAAGACTCATTTACTCAGAGCTTTAATGTTTAAATATTTAATGTCATTTACTACTTATATGTTGTGTGTGCCCATTGTGCAGTGCTGCAGCAAATGTATGCAAATAAACGGCACTTAAATTAATTATGCAACAGGATTTTAGGATATTGAGATTCAGTTTACAGAGAGAGTAGCCACCAAAAAATGCAAAAGAAAACAGAAGACAAAATTGTGGATCACTCCCTTATATTGGAAACATTTCCCAATATCACATCTTCACTCCATCAAAAGTAAATAATCTGAATATGTGAGGCAGACTTTATAAAGAAACCTTCAGCGCTAACCTCTGCACACATTATCCTTACTATTTATAAAATATTAATAGAGTTCAATATAGGCAGCCGTGATGGCTTTACATTCACAGGAGAGGCATCTTTATCCTGTCCTGAGCCAAACCTGGCCACATATGATATTTATGCCTGGTGTTTAACAGTAGTTGTAATAAATTGCAGAGAGAAGCGCTCAGTCTGCCATTGCAAAGCCGTAGCGTGGGTAACGGAGTCACAAATTAAACGTTGACATGTTATACATATCAGGGCCGGTGCAAGGATTTTTGCCGCCCTAGGCAAAAGTAAAGTTTGCCGCCCCACCCATGTGACATCACAATGCCCAACCCATATGATCTGCCATGTTAACTAACACCAGTGCTGTATGCCGCCGTGTTTACATTAAAAGTCCAGCAGGGACAGGCTATAGACACCAGAACCACTACATTAAGCTGCAGTGGTTCTGGGGACTATAGTGTCCCTTTAATGTGAGGTAAATTTGAGATTAGTGCCACGAATAATATACTAGATTGCCTACTTACAACCAGATG